GTATACACATACACGTACTGCCTCACATATGCAAACTGTAGTGAGGCATATATGCAGTCATGATAGAGAAATATTAGTGCCTCCTCCCACAATCTATGTTGCTAAAATAATGGTTATGACAACAATACCTCTGCACTATTTGCCTGGAAGTGCTAAGCCCGGTATGACACTTGGTAAGATTTAACTGGAGTAGGACAGATATTTTTATGGTTAGGCCAACCTCTGTGCATATATTTTACTTTATTTGACTTATAAAGACACATACTCACTCAGTTATACATTATTATCCTATATAATAAAAGCCTAATATTCAAATTGTCCCCTCGACCAGGAGTTCTACTGGGAGTTCTACTGAAAGTTCGACCAGGGATGATGGCAGTGGTAGCAGCAGTGGCAGGAGGCTGGGGAAAGGGAACAGTGGTGGAGGTGCAGGCAGCCGGGGAAAGGGAGGCACCCTGGCCGACAGCCGGCAGCCAGCAGCTGCTAAGAACCCTACCCGTGCATGAATTTTGTGCACTGGGTCTCTAGTTATTAATGTTAGTTTATATGGTATCCTTTATTCTAACATAAATAAAAGAGCATTAGAAACATCTCATTTATCCTCATAATGAAAAAACAAAGAGAGAGAGAAGCTGTTTCAATGGTCTTGAAATTTCTGTCTTTGGTGATTCCTTCTTTCTCATTAACCTGGAAATCCAGATTAACCTTTATAGAGCAACCTTCAAAAAATAGGTTATTTACAGAAACTTTTAGCAATCTTCTCAGGAAAAATTCCACACTAGTCATTCTAAGAGTCATGGAGATTCATAGCTCCATCTTATCAATCCAGCTGTCATTCTCTACAATTATTCTACATATGCCCTCCTCCAGATGCTGCTCTTCTTGCTAAGTGCTCCCGTATGGTCTTGGTCTTCTTCATACTGTTTCTCCCACTCAGGTCCTTCTTCCTCTTCCTTTCACTTTATCCAAACCCTTTCCACTCCTCCAACTAAAATCCTTTCTCCTCTACAAAACCTTAAAGGCTACTCCAGGTCATTTTAGACTTTCCTGTCATGCTATAAACAGTTCATTTATTTGTTGAGTATTACTAGTAAAATATGAGACATAATGAGGTTTAAACAAGACCAGGTTTCAAGTCTTCTGAGTGAATTCCATTCCCTGGGCTATCTTTGTGCCTTTCTGCCATTTCTATTTTTCTCTTACTAATTTTTTTCTCATTTTCATCTCTCTTTTTTTCTTTCTCTCTGTTAAATGCAAAGAGACACATTCTAAGCATGGGGCTTAGAAAGCAATGCTTGGAGGAGGAAAACCAATAGATGGCAACTAGATGACTAAAGCACCCAGTGTGGAGCATATCCCATCTTTTCACAATCAAAACAAAACAAAATAAAAATCTCAAATGCCACAATCAATCAAATCAAAGGAGAACTGCATTTATTATTAGGACAATTCCCAAAGGGTTGGTATATTGCAGCCCAAGATTCTGAGAGGGAAAATAACAACAAAAACCTCACCTAGACAGTTCATCATGGAAATAAAAACATGCTATACAGAAAATAATGGAAAAACATATAGGGCAATGAGGGTATGGAGGAAATAAGAAATATAAACATGGAAGCTAAGAAATTTAGAAAAATAAAGGATATCTAAAGTTATAAAGAAAGGAAAACAGTGGGTGCTTAAGTCTGAAGAGTGGTAAATAGAAGCCTTCACCTTTTGCCTAGAAGAAACACTTCTATAATAATAAAAGCATATTATGCAAATCGACCGAATGACTGAACAGCAGAACGACTGTCTGGATGACCTTCCAGATGGCCATGCTATGACACGCACTGGTGCCAGGCCAGCCAAGGTTGGTGCAATGTGATTGGTTGGGGAGCCCTGCCATCACCCCACAATTGCCTTGCAGAGGGAGGACCAGGTCACTGGCTGGTGGGGCAATCGATCAGGGGTGGGGGTCCCCAAAGAGGGATCACCCCAAAAGAGGGAGGCCCAGGCCATCCAGCTTGTGGTGCTGTGGTGGGTGGGCAGGGCCTCCCTCTGTGGGGCGATCGATCTGGAAGCCCCGTGATTGATCACCCTGCAGAGGGAGGCCAGCCAAGCAATTGCATCCCACGCCTATCATCTGCAGAGGGAGGCAACTGGTTTTGGGGGAGGGTAGGGACAACGCCCCACAGATGGCAAGCAGTGGCAGCGGCGGGGGCAGGGCCAGCTGCCAGCAGCCAGGGCAGGGCCAGCTGCCAGCAGCCGGGGGTAGGAAAGCCCCATTAAGCCTTGATTGCTGGCCAGGCCTAGGGATCCTACCTGAAGGGTCTCAGATTGCGAGAGGGCACAGGCCGGGCTGAGGGACACCTCACCCCCATGCATGAATTTCATACACTGGGCCTCTAGTTTTTAAATAAAAAGCTAAGACAAAACCACAAGATACCCTCCAACAGTAATGCTTTGGGTTAAAAGAGAAGCACATTTCAAAAGGCATATTCAGTGATGTTGTTTCACTAAGTGCCTCATATTTGCAAAAATGTTTTTCTAATCATCCTGCTAAAAGTGAAGGAGGTATGGGGATAGAACCTGAAAAAAGAAATCCCTGTGCAAGCATATCACACAAATCTGAATGATCTAATATTCTTGGATTTATTTGGCTGGCTCTATTTTGTCCTCCCCCCAGGTTAGGTAGAAAAACAAACATGAAAATCAAGATGAAATGTAAAGTTACCAACACTTTAAAAATAGTCTTCTTTCTCAAAATCAATGTGAAAAAAGGAAAACAAAGAACTTCTAAAACTCACTTACATTCAATAGTTAATGACTGTTTTTAACTTTCTTTTGTTGAGTCATCAACTCTCCTTCCCCCACTCCTTAGTTTCCAGGGTCAACGAGCAACATTTTATAAATCACGGGACTGGATTTGCTATGTTTGGTCTTGAGCCAGTTTCTTTATTATCTCTGCTGTTGTACACTACAGTTTTGTAGACACACCAAATAAAATGAAGAAACAAAACTAGGAGATTATTCCCAGACTGTTTGCCAACTGTTAACTGTTACTAGTACACAAAATTTCAAACTGTTGATAGATAAAACAATGAATGGTCCTTTATTCCTGAATCTTTTAGAATAGAAACCAGGAGTGGGGGGAAGTAAGAACGGGAGGTTGTGATTTCCTTTTCTGTCAAACTGCTTTGTTCCTCCTTTGCCTCAGTTTCCTAATTTGTTGAATAGTGTTGTTCAGAATTTTGTTTTCTTCCCTAATTCTACCTAGTGCAAAATGCTTTGAGTATTTTTTGCATCATTCCATCACAACAAAAAGAGAATCAGGAAGGCTATATGTGTATTCATTTATAACCTTCCAGATCTTGCTTCCAGCATTCCTCAGTCTTCAATTGTAGTGTCTCAGGAAATCTATGAAACCATGCCAGTTCACAGTCAACCCCACAGAGTTGATTCCTAGACAAGTGTTTAAATAAGTTGCTGTAAGTCATATGGCTAGTTAGGGTCAGAATTCACGAGAACTAAAACCCAACTCTTCCTATACTCCATTGAACACTGAAATCATTTTCACTGGAAATTCAGAATACCTAAGCAGACTCAAGGTCTGGACTGGGTTTCTAGCTCAATCCAGGATGACTCTTGGACGTATATGACCAGAAAGATTCTGAGATCTTGGGCTGTTTCTCTGGGATTGATGGTCTGATTCTATGGAGTTTAAGAAACCCGAGCCCTCCTTGAGCAGGACCTACTTTCTTCGTGGTTGACCCAGGGCAGAGCTGACACAGCTGAAACATTTTAGAGCACACCCACATCTCTGGTTGAACCAGAACAGAGTGGGTGGGAGAAGGGCCATCTGTTGACACAGTCATTAATCCAATAACAGTGCTGGCCAGTATACTCTCTCGAATTAGCTCTAAGTAAAATTTCTTCAAAATGTAATTTTGTTTTATCCTTAAAATCACCCCCCCACCCCCCTTACCCCATCCCCAGAAAACTACTAAAGATTCATCATCATCATCATGGAGTACCCTGCCTCGAATCATAAATCAGGCCAGTATGCACGTGGGTTTTGTCCAAGTCTGTATAAGAGTGGAACATTTTGTTTTCGGAATGTGAGAAGTATGAAATACAAAGCTGCCAAAAGGCTTCCTCTGAATTGCTCTGGGACTAGGCAGGGCAGGCATTAACTTTCCCAGGGAAGGGAGAAGACCAGGCAAGTCTGAGTCAGGTAACGCCCTTGGGTGAGGTCTGAGAAAGATAAAGAATTCAGATCCCAAAGATAGAGCCCATTAAACATTCCTGCGCCCCACTGAGTCGGTTCCATAATGAAGCGAGAACATGCACGCCCCAACATTTAACGACCTTTGGACTCGCAGGGCGGGGCGGGGGGGGGCAGCAGGCAGGGAAGGGTCGGCCTGGTGCTGCCAGAGGTTAAACATTTGTACGCCGAGAAGCCAGGAAAGGGCACCTGATTTCTCTACAGAACTGTAGCGCTGCGTCTGGGAAACCTGTTGGGAGCGAATTCAGAACTAGAAAATCCAGGTCCGTACCCAGGAGCGCCCCTCCCTTCATTCCAGGATCACGCGTGGGGCCTT